GTCAATTTATTTATATCCATATCAATGTGTTGTATCAATTCAATGTCACAGTAGTCGGGATTCTCATCCGAGCATGTGGTCAACTCTTGTATACGCGCTGAAATGCGATTGAAGACCGCTGAAAAGTGATTTTGTGAGAGTGCAAAAAGCACTTTTGAAGCAATGGCCTTCAACTGTGCTGCATTGGGATTACTGTCACTCTGTACATCGATAAATTGTGAAATTTCACGTAGCAATAGCTTAACATTCATTGCCTCTTCGAAACGCGCAGTATCCTTGGTCTGGTTGGCCAAACAACGTTCGAGTGTAGTAAGTATGATGACAAGCGATTCGAAATAACAACGCTCCGCGTCATGACGATTTTGGAAAGACTGTAGGGAATTAGAAAAAAGATATATGTATGTAGTATGATAAGTACATATGTACATTTCTAAGGAAAATATAAAAATAACTTACCGCCTCATTAACGCGTTGCAGTATTTTAGTGAGTCCGGATATTACCAGTGAGAAACGATAGCGAGAAATATGTATGAGACATGCGCTCAGCTGATCTTGACTGATACGCGCCTGTGTGCTATGTGGTCCAATTTTGTTGGGGAGCTGAAATTGCAAGAATGATAAATAAATTAATAAATTTTACTAAAAAAGTAAAATATGTAATTTAATATATGGGGCAAAGTACATATGCAATTTGTATGTAGTAAGTAAATATGTCTCTATATGTAGAATGGATTATGTGCTACTATACTACCCGAAATCGAGAACATATGTAAGTATGTATTCGTTTTTCGTGTAATTCAGTAGAACGTGCAGCAAGCATCTCCTGGGAGTATATTATTGCAAACTCTATAACATCAACAATTGTTTATTTTTTTAACCAAATTCAGCTATTTGCTCAAAAATTACTTGTACATAATTTTTCAAATTGTATTTTGCTTTAATTTTATTATTTTTTTTTTTTTGTAATTTAAAGTTACTTCCTAATTCTTCATAAGAATTAATTGGCCAGCGAAAAACTTAAAACGCCATCTCCATTTTACTGATTTTATAATCTAGATTTTTCCCATTTAACCGTTTTCCTAGGCATTCCATTCCAGGAATTCTATAGTTCTATTTCATCATATTCTTAGCAAAAATAAGTTCGTTCTTTTATCTGCAACACATATCATTGAAAGCGAAATTCAATACAACAAGTGCCCAGTAGACCAGAACAACATACCGAAATAAAAACAATAAACATTTCGATGCACTTGAAAAATTTCCCCAAAATACGCTCGCATTCAACAAAACGGCAGCCATTCTACCATTCATACATTCATTCATGTGAGCCCCGCAACTTTTGGCTTTACGTTAAAATTTCCCAACTTTCACTTTTCATTCTCGCAGCCACAATCGCGAGCCATTCATAAATTCATTCGGGCGATCCGATTTCATTCACAATTCCACCCAACTACTACGCAAGCCGGTGTAAACAAAACGTAAACAAATGAATATCCCAAAACAATAACAAACGTTTGCCATCGCACTTGCACACTAGCGCTATCACGCTCGCTCAATGGGACATTTTTTAATCGATAAGGAAATTTTCTGACAGCTTTTTTGCATTGCGCTGCAGCAGCCCCTGGGCGAGACCCAGTGAAAATCCATGTTTTCCGCTCACCTGGTCCTCGAAACGGGCCAAAAGCGAGTTCGCCCACTCGCCGGGCTTTTGGATTGCCATTTGTATATATTTTCCACAATTAATTTACACTTTTTACTGCATTTTTTATTTTCATTAGTAGAGCTGCACAATTTTCACACAATTTTTAGCTACACAGATTTTCACTTTGTGGCATTGGCTGCGATTGCACGGGGAAATTTCACATTGACAGCGGCAGTGATCGGGCACCACAATTTGTGTGGTAGAATCTGGAAAAAAATTTAGTACATTTCAAAAAATGTGATAGATTACAAAAAAATTGGTTTCACCCAAATTGCAAACACTTTAAGTAGAATCTAAAAGAAAAATTTAATTTTAATATAATAAATTGCAAGATTGAAGTTCCTAAAAGTTGCGTGAAATTTGGGAACTTTTTTCCTTGACAGTGTAAAGCAGTTCCTTTCATACAAGATATTTTTCGAACATATTTTGAGAGATTTCACGAGGTAGCGAATAAATGTGGCATGTTCAAGAAACCACTACTTGGGATTTGCCGATTTTAATAATTCTCAAGTAAAAGTAAACAACGCCTTATACACTTTAGATGCACTGAAATTTGCTAATACTTTCACACTTTCGCTATTAATTCTTTTTATAGATCACATATTTTGCAATAGAATCACGTTTTCCGTCGAAAAATTGATTATTGAGAAAAAAAGTTTATTTTATACTACTATTCGGCTAAGTTTTTAGTGTTTAGTGTTGGACAATTTGTGCTCTTAAAATTAAGAAAATAATGTCGAGCAAAAATAAAACTACTCAAAAACGCGAATGTGTGCTAGATGAAAACAGCTGTTCCTGTAAAACCTGCAAATCTTTCAAATCGTGAAGTACGGGAACGGGCTACTTGTGTGGTAGATGGTTAAAAAAAGTGCAGATCTAAACAATGTGGTAGAGTCCGATCACTGGACTGCGCTTTGAGGCCGTCAAATGAGTGTTTCGACTCCATTACGAGAGCTAAAATTTTTTTGGTGCAAAAGTCCAGCGGTTGTTGTTGGTTATATAAAAAATATATATATAAAACAAGAAGAAAAAATAAATAGTTATCAGTTTTAAAAATAAAAAATTTAAAAAATATAAAATACAATAGAATTAAATGCATAAAAAAAGAAATTAACTTCTATAAAATAAGAATGTATTTTAGTGGTCACATATTAGATATTAATAGCAGAATCGCAATTGGGCGTTCGGTCGGTCGCGCGTTTAACAGATGAGTAAAAATAACTGTTAACATGGTAACAAATCAAATGGGGCACTGCAACTGACCGGCAGAAAAGTTAGCTGCCTCTGTTTTGTCTACCAAAAATTTTATTTATCGTTATCTTAATATGGAAAGACCCTAATACTAGGTTCACATATAAGTAGATTATCCTCATTTTCGAGCTTAACACCCTAATCTGTAATTATAACAAGAGATTAGCCATATAAAAATCGTCCCTTGTTAATCTGTAATTATAAAATAATCTCAGATTTAACCGATAACTTTTCGGTGTCCATCCTAGTTTTATCGATTTTTTTGCGAAAGAGAAGAGAAACGCCAAATGTAGAAGTAAACAAAAATGTACGCTAGCAAGTAAAAGAGGTTTGTAAAGGC